TTCATAATACACCTTTCGGCACCAGGCAAAATGTTCCTCTTGAACCAGTCCTTTGGCTGATTAACCTTCTATGGCCTTTCAAATCTGTTGGTGGGAGAGGGGAATTACTGGTTTCCCTTTGTTCTTATTTTTATTATGTATTTGGTGGGCTTTATATTGTAATTTTGTAGGGACGCGGGTGGCGCTGTGGGTAAAAGCCTCAGCGCCTAGGACTTGCCGATCGAAAGGTCGGCGGTTCGAATCCCCGCGGCGGGGTGCGCTCCCGTTGCTCGGTCCCAGCGCCTGCCAACCTAGCAGTTCGAAAGCACCCCCGGGTGCAAGTAGATAAATAGGGACCGCTTACTAGCGGGAAGGTAAACGGCGTTTCCGTGTGCGGCTCTGGCTCGCCAGAGCAGCGATGTCACGCTGGCCACGTGACCCGGAAGTGTCTCCGGACAGCGCTGGCCCCCGGCCTCTTGAGTGAGATGGGCGCACAACCCTAGAGTCTGTCAAGACTGGCCCGTACGGGCAGGGGTACCTTTACCTTTACCTTTATATTGTAATTTTACATTTTGAACCTCCCTGAGATCTACGGATGAAGGGCAGTATATAAATGTAATCGACAACAACAACAGTCCACCCCACTAAGAATTACAGTCTGAGATTGCACTCCTATATCCAATTAACCCAGGAGTAAACCCCAATGAACTGAATGGGGCTTGCTTCCGAATCGACATGTAGGATTTCACTGTAAATTAGTCACACTTAGTCCAGAGGTGGAGGACGTATGACCCTGCTGATGTTGTGGGCTACAGCTCTAAAATTCAAGTACAGAATGTTCACAGCAGCCAGAAAGTCTTAATTTCTCATCTTTGCTTGTATAAACAATAAAAGAGTGCCAGTTTGTCACAAAAGTATATTTACATTTCGCTCCTTTAACCAGACATATTTGCTACTTCTCCCACCAGAGCGACTTGCCAAGCCATTTAATATCCATTAGCTAATGTGGCAACTTCCAGTATTCCAATATTGAGCAAGAACCAGCCAGGTAGCTACAAGAAGACAGCCCATTAGAGGTTTGAAATGGCAATCCATGTTGTTTTGGAAAAAAAATCTTTAACTCCACCAGTTCCAGAGATTTCAGTAGTTGCTGTCCAGGCATTTTAGTAATTTCTGCAAAGACCCCAGTACAAAACTGCAACCTGCCTTTCTTCCACATATGCTGGAATGACCCTGGTTCCTTACACAACCTTGAATTAGAGATCGTCAGTTGAAGCTGTCTCACAGTGCAAAAATGATATATGACCTCTATTTTTAATGCTTGTTCCCACGTACTAGATTATATGGATTTAAATGGGAAATTTAACCACATAGAATTCTACCAATGGTCTTCGATCAAAATATTCCAGTTGGACTCTTACATCCGTTTCAGGCCTTCTTCAGAGCCAATATCAATGCTAAGAAGTAAATTTTAAGCACGAGACACCAGCCCCTTCCTTTCGCCTTCAGTGCTCGGAAACAATAGCTCAGGGGTCAGCAAACTTTTTCAGCAAGGGGCCAGTCCACGGTCCCTCAGACCTTGTGGGGGGCTGGGCTATATTTTCAAAAAAAGAAAAGGAACGTATTCCTATGCCCCACAAATAACCCAGAGATGCTTTTTAAATAAAAGCACACATTCTACTCATGTAAAAACACTAGGCAGGCCCCACAAATTACCCAGAGATGCATTTTAAATAAAAGCACACATTCTACTCATGTAAAAACATGCTGATTCCTGGACTGTCTGTGGGCCAGATTTAGAAGGCGATTGGGCCAGATCTGGCCCCGGGGCCTTAGTTTGCCTACCTATGCAATAGCTGAAAGATCCTTCAGGAATTGCTGATCAACATGTTCCTATCTAATAAAGGAACCCACTTGATACTAATTCAACCAGTTAAAACATTCATTTTAAAGGTTGAATATTTCTAACAGGAGTCCTGTCTATTGGGATGGAATTTTAATTTAGCCATACTATTAACACTGAATAATCAGCAAGCAATAATATTCAGCTGCAATGAAGCTGGATGGACAAACGACTCTGGCTTGTCTTGGTTCTTTGCTTCCCTGGAATGACCTGCCTTTGGGGGGGGGCAGAGAAAGCTTTCACTGACCTGCTATTGCCCCAATACCCCTTTCTTCTGGAAACCTACATAACTTGGCATTCATGGAAGATACAATATTTGCTAATCACTGTCAATATTTTTGTAGACGAAAAAGTAATCCCTTGGTCACTGTGACTGGTGATAAAAGGACACACTGCAAATTGCAGCAATGTTGCCGAAGAGGAAAATAACCAAGAGAGGCAGATTATGAATTTAAATATCAAATTTTAAAATCATGTAAATATCTGTTCACTCCCTTTCCCCTGCCTGTATCTTCATATTTTTGCAATAGTACTATTGATGGATCTTTTTTTGGGGGGGGGATGCTGTAGAAGATCTAAAGTACATTCTTTAGAAAAACAACAACAAGAAGTTAATGCACAAATCTTCCTTTAAGATGTTGATGAATTCCCAATACCCATCAGCTCCAACCAGGATGGCTAATGGTCAGTGGTGGACATTCTTGGACTGTGGGTCTGGGCAGTTGCCTTCATTTAACATGGACCTTGAATGTGTGTCCACTGCCTGCCTCAGATTCATAAACCCTCCAAGTGTCCCTATTTTCCAGTGACAGTCCTGGATTTACAGAAGCCGTCCTGGTTTCTGACCTGAACCTGAAATGTCCTGCTTTTCCTTAGGACATCCCTACTTTCATCCGAGAAATGTTGGAGGGTTTGGAGTTATGCGACCCCTGAGCCAAGCAGTAAAGTAACTACAATATTTAGGAGACATCTGAATGCAGTCCTGTATAGTTTTATTATGTTTTTTTAAATATGTTGGAAGCCGCCCAGTGTGGCTGACGCAACCAAATCAGGTAGGCGGGGTAGAAATAATAAAATTATTATTTATTATTGAATAAGATGTCTCTATTTTCATCAGAGAAATGTTGGAGGGTATGGACTCATTATGTCCCAAACTACAACGTTCCTTTTTACTCACAAGGCTTCCACTCCTCTCTCCATCCTTCTTGAGAATGACACCATTGACTTGGCTTTCTCTATGTCTAATGCCACTATTTCCTTGTAACAAGTTTTGTCACTTCTCTCCTTAAAACATAGCAAAATATGCCCCGCCACCTGTTCCCTTAGCACCCCTCTAAAGAAAACCAACCCTTCAAGCTGACACCTCCTGTTCATTCCTCACCCTTGATTCCTGCAACCTCCTCCTCATCTCTGTTAATCCATTAGCTCACCTCAGTCTTCTTGCCTCTGTCCAGAACGTAAGCCAAAATAATTATTGTGTTGCGCTGATCAGGGCCAGTCCTACCATCAGGCAGAGTCAAGCAGCTGCCTCAGGCGGTGGGTGCAATGAGGCGGGAAGCAATGGAGGACAGAGGACAGAGCTGTGTGCCTGACCTGCTCCCCCTAACCTAACCTGCTGTCTTCAGTGGTTGTGGAAGAGACTGCAGATATTCAAGTAAGAATCAACTGCTAATCCAGCCGGCTTCTGAACAAGGAGTGGATAGAGCACCATCTTGACCTTTGCCTCAGACAGGAGATGGTCTAGACTACAGAATGCCCCAGGTAGCTCCCAGCACAGGTTTCTTGCCATCTCCCAGATCTTTCACAGACTCCTTCAAAGCCCTCTGTGGTCATGTCCATCTATTTGTGCCACACCTTTCAGCTCTTATATTTTGGTATTTCTCAGCCCCTCCACTTTCAACATGTTAAGAAAAGGATCTTGCTCCATCAAACAGCTCTGCACCTTCTCCATAAGGTGGCTACTTCTTACCATGAGGCAAGGTGAGGTCACTGCCTCAGGGGCAGAAGATCCATTCCCTAAGGAATGTATTACCTCCTGTTGCTGCCGTAGTGGCAATCTCAGCTGTGGTGCATTACTTGGAGGCCACATCTGCTGCCTCCTCAGCAGCCCCCTCCACAATGCTGCCTCTACAATGGCCTCTGGGCAAAGAGGAGGTGCTGCTGGTCTTCCCCCACCCTTGTTCTCAGTGTAGATCATCGCTCGCTCCTTCTTCTCTGGCAGAGTGGGTTCTCCTGAGGCGCCAAAATGTCTTGGCCCAGCTCTGGCTGCAGTGGAGTGAGAGGGACATACTAATATGATGTAAGCTGCCCAGAGTGGCTGGGGAAACCCAGCCAGATGGGTGAGGTATAAATAATAACATTATTATTATAGCAGAGTAAGAGCATTGCTAGATTAGGCCAAAGGCCCATCTAATCCAGCATCCCAGACCTTCCAAGTGTCCCTATTTTCCAGGGACAGTCCTGGATTTACAGAAGCCATCCCGATTTCTGATTTGATCCCAGAATGTCTGGCTTTTCCTTAGGACGTCCCTATTTTCATCAGATAAATGTTGGAGGGTATGAAGTTATCTGACCCCTGAGCCATCTGAAGGTTGCCTTTTATAGGGAAGTTTTTAATTTTTAATGTTTTATTCTGTTTTTATATATGGTGGAAGCCGCCCAGTCAGATGGGTGGGGAATAATAATAATAATAATAATAATAATAATAATAATAATAATAGAATGTCCCTATTTTCATCAGAGAAATGTTGGAAAGTATGGCATTCTGCTCTCACAGTGGTTAACCAGATGGTTGACTATACAATGGTAGGTGCAAGGTTCAAAATAACTTATCCGTATTTGTCAGTAGGTAAACTATTGCATCATATGTTAGGTTAGAATGACCAGGTCAATGTCTCTCTCACCTAAAGTGATGCCTAAGATGACTGCTGGATATGAGGAAATCTACACCCCCAAAATTATTATTTTTTAAAAAGTCAGTGATTGCCAAAAGAAAAGTTTGCTGAGAGAGATAAACATCTGCACGTTCAGCAAAATCTTGATCAGTATGGATCACGTGATGCTGCTGATCTCCCTATAAAAAGCCCACTGTGGCTGAGGGCTATCATTCGCCTTCACCATGAGGGGAATAGTCCTAGCCCTCCTGTTCGCCCTTGTGGGTAAGTCAGCAATTGCTTTTACTATTATCCTTTTGCAGAACTCTGTAGAGTTTAGCAAAAAAAGAAGAAGGTTATTTTCTGCTGTCAGTACTCACATTGTGACTTATTCAATTTCTCTCTTAGCGTGCCAGAAGATTCCAGACAGTAAGTTCATCAGTATTCTAACCTTATTTTAAAATCACCATAGTACCTTTGTTGAAGTTGCATTTATGATAGTCAACCACTAAGGGTAGAGTGGGGAGAGATTAGTTGAGTTTGTGTAGCGTAGTGTCTGAACTGCAAAATCTTGAAGTTCCTTGTTTAAGTCTTGTTAAGTGACCCAAAATGCTTAAATCTTTCTGAGCCTCAGCCCTGAAATATGGGGAACAATAATTATGACCTACCTTGCAGGCTTGTTGTAAGAATTACAAAAATAAATTATGAGAAGAGCTTGAAAATTATAGAGGGCTGTCTAAATTCTAAGCTTTATTAATTCATTCATTAATGATTTTTAAATGCACTTACATCTCACCCAAAGCTCAATATGAGTACATTTTAAAGATACTGAAGGAAGTATGAAGTAATTTACGAATTAATAAGCAGAAGCAACAACTCACTGTTCAAAGGAAATTTTGTTTCCTATTGCAGTGTTATACTAAAGCCCAAAGAGGCTCACAAATACATAAATCACAGCTCTGCTAATTAAAACTTCTCTCCTTATTAATCAAGTGTGATCATCACTGAGTAATTAATCCGATTGTTGCATGCAGTTCTAGTGGCAATACATTTATGAAACACAATGGGTGTAAATGAAACTTTGCGGATATATCTTTGTGGGTATAGATTTGAGCAGCAGAAAGCTTTTCCAGTAATGAATGCATTTTCCAGCATACACTTTAGCTAAGCCACTCTAATAGCAAACTCAGTTGGTAGGTGCCAAAAGATATGGAGCTGAAACAGGGCAATGCTCAGGGAAAGCGGTGTGTGTGAGAGTGTTATCAAAGCATGCTCAGGAAAACCCAGAGGTATTTTAAAGTGGGGGGGGGGGAGAGAAATCTCCAATCTGCATGCTCAGATGCCAGAGAATATTAAGTGTCAGCTGGAAAATAAACCTGGAAAACCAGGAGGGAGGGGATATGGACTGCAACAACCTGAAAAAGCGCATAGCTGGCTGGCTGGAATCCTGAACAGGAGTTCTGATAATAAACTGCATAGATAAATAGATGATAGATAGATAGATAGATAGATAGATAGATAGATAGATAGATAGATAGATATAGATTAAAATGTTGTACTTTACTGAAACTGAATGCTGGAAGATTCAAGACAGAGTAGAAGAAAGTAATCATTCACACAGCACATAGTTAACCTCTGGAACTCACTTCCACCGGAGGTGACAATGGCTTTAAAACAGGATTTAAAACTTTCATGGAAGAGAGGGTTATTGGCAACTGCTAGCCATAATGGCTGTGCTCTGCCTCCACGATTTGCAGTTGTATGCTTCTGAATACCAGGTGCTGGAAATCACAGGAGGGGGGAGTGCCGCTCTTATGCTTGGGCCTTGCTTGCAAGTTTCCCACAGGCATTTGGTTGGCTACTGTGAGAACAGGATGCTGGACTAGATGGGACAATGCCCTAACCCAGCAGACTCTTCTTGTGCTTGTATGTTTGTGCAGTTATACTCACATTAACCTCTCCGATTTCTTTCCCTCAGAGGGCCAGACGCAAGAACCTGGTAAGTCTGAGAGGAATTTAAACCAACTGAAAATCTCCAGTTTAATTCCCACCCCCACCCCCAAACTCGGGTGTGTCTCCCTCTGGAATATAGGGACAATTGTGCAGGGCAGCCTTAGATAGTTGTTGTAAGGACTGCAGCAAGATCATTTATGTGAACCGCTTTGAACACTATAAAGTGCTCCGCACTATCGATTCACTATACGAAATGTTTTTAATTAAGGAATTTCTTTAACTGATAATCAATTACTGCAGCCAGTGTGGCGACAGAATAGGAACCAAAATGGGGCAATGGAGAAACAAGAGGGTGGTATTAAGTGTGTTTGGTGAACCCCTGAGGTTTCCAGAAGTACAAACAAACAAACAAACAAAACACATGCCTTAAAGCTGCCCCATGAGGATTGGAATAGCTGTGGAATGTTGGCTGCCATTTGAGGTGGTGGTGGGGAATGGAATGGAGTGAGGCAAAGAAGGGCATGGCTGGCTGACGAGAATCTTAGAGAGGAACACTTCTATTAGAACATGAGGATACACCAAAACATTTTGTTTTAGGACCCACTTGTATATTTCACAGTGAAGTGGTTATGGTCTACTGTTATACACAGTTTGTAACCTATCCAATTTCTTTCCCCAGGGACTGAGACTGCCGAAATCAGTAAGTCTATCTATAACACATCATAACACTGATTAACATGACTTTTAGGGCAGTTGACTACCCGAGGGGGGAATTAGTTGAGCTGGTATATTGCCAAAGGCTTCAATCCTATACACCATAGGTGGGGAAACTGTGGCCCTACAGATCTTCTTAGACCACAGGCTCGTTATCTTGCCCATTGACCATAGATGTGTGTTGAAGCCCAGCAGCAACCCTGCTATTATACACACCTACCAATGGAAGTAAGCTCCATTGCACTCAAGAGAAGTTACGTATTTCTGAGTAGCTAGCCATAGGATTGCACTGTGCAGCTGGGCTACAAATTTGAAAATTCCCGGTGTATGTCCTTGGGCACACCACCCTATTTGCTCCTCAGCCATGAATCTATCTGCAATATGGGGATAATAATACTGACCTGCCTTGCAAGGTTGTTGTAGAGATCACAAAATAAATGACCTAAAGCGCTTTGAACGCCCAAGTCCTATCTAAACGTTGAACATTTTAGATTAATCATTTAATGACATTTAAATGCATCCACATCTCTCAGGATTGGAGACATTTTCAAGATGCTGAAGGAAGTATAAAGCAATGGTAGTAAGTGAAAGCAGCACTCATGCTTAAAAGAAACATTTTCTTGCCTGTTTCCTATTGCAGGGCAAAACTTTAAAATTGCAGCCCTGAGAGTGAAACATCACCCAGCAATTAATCCACTAAAGTTTTAAGTTAATCACAACATAGATTAAGCTGATTAAATCTTGACACCCTACTGGATGTGCATATATGAAATACAGCAGGTGTAAATTGTTCTCTCTCTTATTTTTTGTAGAGCCACGTTTTGAGCATGGGAAACGCTACCGCTACAAGTATGTCGCCGACGTTATCACCACAGTGCAAGGATATGAGATGGGTAGATCTGTTGTGAGGCTGACTGGAGGGCTAGATATCTATGGAGGGGATCAAGATAATATTCTCAAGGTAAGCATCATCATTATGCAGTCCCTTTAAATAGCCATCAGACTACAGAGCATCCCCTCTAGAATTCCTGATGCATTACAAGCAAGGAGGTGCCATCTAGCTTTCACTGTAAACTCCAGTGCTCTCCACCCATCATGCAATCCTAAAATCAAATGTGTATCCAAAACAGAATCGGTGGGAGGGGAGAGGGTAGGTGATGTTCTTGATGAACCTTAAAGTAAATGTATGATGAGCTTTAAATTAACCTTAAGTTAAATATTAAACATGAAAAAGTGAAGCAGCTGTTTACCAACAACAACATTTTAATTTTTTCCCCAAACGTGGATTTCCTCAAATTTCTGTTGTGGTGGCCCAGAGAAGGCAGGAATGAGGAGAGGTGAAATGAAGACAACTAGACCAGCCATAGTATTGGGCAGAAGAGAGAGAGGCAGCTGTTTTGGGGTGTCATGAAAGGGCAGCAAATCATATTGACTAAATGTTCACATGGGACTAAAATCACCCATGGATTGCAAAGGGAAAAGCTTAGTTGGCTTTCATTTCACTCTTGACAACACAACTGTTTAAAAAAAAAATCATTGCGAACTTTTCACAGAACATTGTTTTTGGGGCTATAGTTCATAAAATAGTTCCTATGCACATGTTTGCTTTATCTCTACTACATTATATAACAGTACACTGGGGAGCCAGTTTAATTACAAGGAAAGAAGGGGGAATTAAGTTAGCTCTTTATTTAGATCACTACACCAGCATGGTGCAGTAGCTCAAGTGTTAGACTAGGAGTTAGGGGACTGGAGTTCAAATCCCCACTTAGCCGTGATGCTCACGGGGTGAACTCAGATCAGCCACAGTCCCTTAGCCTAATCTACCTCACAGGGTTGTTGTGAGGAGAACAACCATGTAGACCACCTAGAGCTCCTCTGAGGAAAAGTGCGATAAAAATGTAATAATAGTAAGAACAATATGTTTATTGCTTGAATATATTGAAGATATTATATGCAAAAGTATATGTAATGCAAAAAAAGATAGTATAATCATTTTTAGGGCATCCTGTTTGTATTTAAAACATGTTATTTGGTATAACATGAAAGGGCACGATGCAGCCGAAACTAGCAATTGTTACCCTACAATCTGCACACACTTCAGTAGAACTTACTTCTGAGTAGACATGTACAGGTATTAGATGGTACTGTTTATCTCTCCCGCTGAAGTCAGTTGGATTTGCAGGTGCTTCGCTTAAGTTAGATTGAGACACTGTTCTTCGTTTCAGAAACAAAATGAAAAGCAATTTGTTTACTCTCTCATCTTTGTCCTCAGATTGTATCTCTGAAAGTTGAAGATGCTGTGGGAATCTTTCCGGGAGAGCCTCCATTTGCCGCACCCTCCAGGCAACCTGAATCACTTATTGCTTGCACCAAATATTCTTTCCTGTTTGGCTACGTCAATGGCAAAGTTCAGAACATCCGTGTGCCAAGAGACCCACCTCTGCCTTGTGTGAATCTTGTCAGAGGCTTCCTGAACGGATTTTCCATGTCAATTAAAAACCAGAAAGAGTATGAGCTACAAGAGGTTCGTTTCCTCCATGTACATTTAATATGCATTTGGACTCGTCTTTTCGAGCAGCTTTAGTTTACCTCAGTACTGAACTATCTCACTTTTTTTTACTTTCCCCACTGTTTTCTGTTCCCCTGAATGACTCCTGTGGTTTTCTGCTTTTCTGTCTGGCCCTACCATTTGGTAGAGTGAGGCAGCTGCCTCAGGCAACAGTTGCTGCAGTAGCAAGGCCTTGGAGGGTGGAGCTATGTGGATCACATGGCCTGCCCTCTGCCCCTTAAGTTAGCCTGCAGGCCTCAGGTGGACACTCGTCCTCCTGTCACCAGTGCTGAAACAAGCCAACCTGATCAGCACCTATATGTTGTAGGAGGAGGGAGGCAACATTTTGTTCACCTCAGGAAGCAAAATGTGAGATTCCTGTATTGCAGGAATTTGGACCAAAGGACCCTTGTGGTCTCTTCAAACTCTACAATTCTATGATTCTACAAAACACTCAGCTGTGGAAATTGTACATGCCTAACATTAGTTCCAGTGTCCTGGGATACACCCCACAAATTCCTTTGCATGCCTTCTTCCTCTCATTTAAAAAATAAAACCAACCCCCCCCCCCCGGAGTTTATCATGTGCCATTCTACAGAGTGACTAAATCTATACTTGCAGGATGGAATTGGAGGTGAGTGCCACACAAGATACGTCATCCGAGGTGACAGGAGGAGCAGCACAGTCCTCGTTTCTAAGACCAAAGACTCAAACAACTGCAGGAACAAAATGGAGCGCAGCATTGGAACGTTCTTCATCCACCGTAACCCCAACTGCCTGCTGGTAAGAATGTTGGAACGTGATTTGCTTACAAGCGAGGGTAACGTCCGCCTGAAAGCCTTGCTAACTAGAGGCACTTCCTTCTGTTCTATAGCAAAACAGGATGATTCAAGGGACTGAAGCTTTCACCTTCAAACTGAAATATAACCCCTCTGGAGCTGACGCTCAGATCATGCAAGTCGATGCCGAACAAGTCTACCAGCTTTCTCCATTCAGTGGAGCTGAGGGTGCCGGAGTTATGAAAGCTACGTAAGTAACCATAGCTTAAATAATAACTTTTAAAAGGGTCTGCAAGTGAGCCATAGTTCCAGCTAGGCTATGCAAGAGTTGGTCTTAGTAGCAACTGGGTTGCTACTAAAAGCATTTGCAGCATTGCAAAATAAAAATAAAATAAAGAAAATCCTCCCAAATAATAGCTGCTGTTATCTGTCTGTAGGTAAAGGCTGTTCATGTCCACTTAACTGCTTTACACCAATGAAATATTAGTTTTAAAGTCCTGGGCCTGGAGACAATGGGCAGAATTAACCCAATGGGTTCTGACACCATAAGCTCTGTGTAAGGACTTTCACCTAGGCAATGGGTTTTCCCCTACCTCTGTTCCTCACCCCATGCCCTTCCCATGCCTTCCTGTATCAGGAGAATCCCCAGAACATTGACCAGGAGAGGAGAGGGAGAGATAATTCCATCTGAAATGATGAAGCTGGTGAAACATTTAACATAGCACCATGCTGTTGAGTATTTTGCACACTACAAATGGCAAAGGGAAAAACAGAAAAAGGTTTGGGATGCAAAATCAAATGCTTGCCATTACATGGGGACAGGTGTCATTCGTGTGGTCTACATTCTCTTGATTTCAGTATCCCCACAGACTTTAATACATCAGACTTCCATTCAGGAGTACATGAGGCATTGCACAGAGTGTAAATTAACAGCAGAAGTTTGTTGTATGAACACATGGAATGGAAGTCAGGCCTGCAAACAGAAACAATCCAATCAAATATTTCCCTATCATCCACTAGAGATGCAATTCTGACTCAGTCTTGGCTACATTTCCACCAGCTTCCCCATATCTCCCAGTTGTCCTCCTCCTAATTTTTCCTGGGCCAGTCTAGAAACTGCCTGGATGAGCAACAGCACAAATCACTGAATGGTACTTGTGGTTTTCTCTTCCCTTCCAGGCAAAGGCTCACACTGACTGAGGTGACAAATGAACATGCCCAACTGCCACAGGTTCAGCTTCGGAATGTAAACATTCATTACGAGTTCCCAGAGGTTCTTCCCCAAATGCTTGTCAGAACCGGAGACGTTAAGCAACAGGTAGGGAATGTGTTGGCGTATGGAATGGTTCTACGGTTCATAAAGCCGATAAGAGAGCAGTGTGCATTTCTCCATCACAGTGAATATATTCTAGTTACTGTTTCCTTCTTGTTACTATGACAGATTGAAGAGCTATTGGTTGAGCTTGACCGCTTCCCACAAGACATCCGTGGAGACAATGCCCACAAGTACTTACAGCTTAGCCAGCTGCTCCGTTATTTGAATCTGGAAAATTTGCACCTTCTCTACAATAAGTTTTCGAACAAACCTAACGCCAGGTATGTTGGCTGACTAGCACATAAGACACAGCAGCTGCAAACACACTAGCACCAAAATGTAGGTTTCCCCCCTCCCCTATCCTGAATCGTTCGTGCTCATCATCAGCATGCTTCTTTCAATCTAGATTGATTCTAGATCCTGTTGTCCACAAGGGTGGATGGGCTCTGAACCAGTCAGTGTTTGCTCTGTAGTGAAGAATGAAGAATGAAATTTTCAGAATGTTCTTTTTCTGCTCACTGCAGGAATGCCTTCCTGATTGGAGTCGCCTCTGTTGGCACTATAGAATCACTGACATTCCTCAAAGAAAAAGTTGTCAAAGATGAACTGCACGATTTGGAATTGTACTGGACAATTTCCCTAGCCTTACACTCTGTCAAGCCTAACGTAGATAAAGCTGAAGAAATTGCTGACGTGCTAATCGTAAGTACATGTAAAATTATAATTGAGTTTATCAGAATGAACAATGTGTTACATAGGAAATCACATTAGCTATAAAATTTACAGGAGAAAAAAATATCACAAAGTAACAAGAAGCTTCCTTCAAATTCTGGTTCATTGGAAATCTTTCTTTCTCTCACCCACAGAAAATGCTCCCCAAAATAAAGAATACCGGATCAGTTTGGCTTGTGAAGATTTTCTACCTGGGATATGGTACCACCGTCTACAAACAATGTGTTCATTCTCGCTCCTGCTCCACCAAATTGCTTGAGGTATATGGTCCTTGTTCCAAGTTATCCCCCCCCCAAATAAAAGAAGAATGCCTTTCCCAGAGAGAAGGGAGAATTACACACCTTAAACTATTAATTTTGAAATCCCACCATAGCCAGAACGTACCTGCTCCGCACAGGGACTTGATTAGCTTCCCACACAAAGATGTATAGTTTTCCTTGAGTGATTTTCGCCCTGTGCCTTTCAAGAAGGCCAGTTGTGTGCTTGTGAAACATTTGGGATCTTGGGTTAGCTTGTCAACAAAGAGTTCTTGCCTTTTTTTGGAGTTTTCTTTGTGTGAATGGACTGTTGGGCCCCTAAAGTCTTTTCAGTGCCATCAGTGCCACGTTCCTATACTTTTGCAACCAGCACTTAACATATTCTGAAACCATAGAGACACTTATAGGCGGTTCCAGTAATCTATGGTCCCTCTCAAACTCACTCTTCATCTTTTCCTCACTGAGCGAGGATAGTGACATGTACAACATTTATGGGGTTCTGAATGGAATTAAAAAGTGTTCATCTCATTTGTCTGCAGCCTCTGCACGACTTCCTAACTGATGCAACCAGGGAACACAATGAAAACAAAATTACTCTGGCTCTGAAAGCCATCGGCAATGCAGCTCAGCCAGCCAGCCTGAAGCTAGTGAAAACCGTGATTGATTCCCACAGATATTCAGAATACATTCAAGCAGCTGCTGTTCAGACTATGGCGCGAATTGGCAAACAGGAACCTACAAAGGTAAGAAGAGCAAAGGAAAGTCACCTCGATATATTGATTGCAAAGTATTTGGCATTATGAAGCGGCTGAGATTTACTGCTGTCAATGGACTGCAAACTTACACAGTCACATCTGATAAAGATCTTTTTAAAACAGCAGCAGCAGCAGCCCCTTTCTCAAAGCTATTTAAAACTCTCCCATGTATTGTTTTCCTGTCTGTGATTTGATCCCCAAGGCAGATCCATTTAAATCTGAGGATTTGATGCATCCCTTCAATGTGCTCAACTGCTGCCAGGTAAATACTATTAGTTGATCCCCCACATGGTGTGTTTCTCTCTCTGTAGGTGCAAGGCATTCTCCTCCAGATCTTTGCAGACCCTTCATATAATGTGACCATCCGAATGATGGCTTGCATTGGCCTCTTCGAAACCAACCCTGCCATCCCAACAGTGACAGCTATTGCCAATGTCTTGCTCAAAGAGAACAATTTGCAACTGGTCAATTTCGCCTACTCTCACATGAAAGCTTGGTCAAATGTCAGGATCCCACTGTACTACAGCCTGTAAGTCGATCTACAATCAGATCACCTTTCATGCAGTAAATCTGTTGCTGCTATTCATTAGAGTTGGTTATGGTCCTACTGCTAAACTGGTAACATTTCAGTGGGACTCAAGTTAGTAAGATTTATTGCAGCAGGTTTGCTCTAAGCATAACTAAATCTGGATCCAATCCACTGTAATTGAGCTGTTTGTTCTGCCAAATTTGGGAAGTGGTTTCATTTTTATATGTGTTTTCGTAGTATTTTAATCATCAAATTCTCATTGAAGACCACCTTGGGATTTGTTGCGCAAAGGGCAGAACATGAATGCATTAAGTAAACAAGCAAACATGCATTTAGAGACTTTTGCTATTACCTGCTGCTAATTTCAAACCTGTTTTATTTAGGTCTTCTGCATGCAGTATGGCTCTTAAACTTCTGAACCCCAGACCCCTCCACCAGAGCAAGGTTTTATTTGTCAGTGGCTTCAGCAGTAAGTAGCAGACAACTGTTCATTTCCCAGCTTTTATCCAAACGAGCCACCATCTTTTGGATATCACAACCCGCTCCTTAGCACTTTGGAACTGAAAGCATCTATTCCAAAGGGCTCAATGATTTTAAAGACCTTTTAACATACTATGTTGGACAGGGGCGTAGCAGGGGGTGGAAGGTTCCCCCCCTCCAAAATCAAGCAAATAAATAAAAATACTTAACTAAAAGTAGAAATAAACTGAATATTTGAAACTGAAAATTCAAAAATTCTGTTGTGTTGGCAGCAGTAACATCCTATTGAATTTCACAAACAAAAAAACCATGGATGGTAGCAAGCTTCTGCCAGGGAAAATCTTTCCAAGCAGTAGTAGCCAAGGGATCCCATTTTGATTCACAAGGATTAATAACACGGCAATGACTCATTGTCGCTTTTTCCACCGCAGGCAAACACAGAGCGGGATTCCTCGTGAAATGGTTTATGATCGAAAGCCCCCAAACAATGCTCCCTTCAACTATAATCTGGAAAACAGAAGTAAACTTTGCAGGTTCAACTATTCAGCCTCTAGAGGTTTGTGTTACATTTTATTCAGATCATTTCTAGGGGTTGGGAGGTGGGGATGCTTGAGAGGTTTGTTTTGCTATCATACCATGTTGCTCCATAGATGCTGAACGTTAGCAAACTGCTCTCAAAACTTTCCCTCTGTTTTTTGTTTTTTTTTAAAAGGTTAGAGTGAGAACTCAGGGCCTCAAGGAACTCCTCTGGAGGAACACGCACCAATTCGACAAATACCCTGCATATCAGAAGATAAAGGACACTGAAGCAAAAGTATGCATATTTCCAGATTCTCAGTATATTCGCCATAGGGAAATGATGGAGGAGGTCCTTGTCAGGGTGGTTACACTAGTGAACCCCTGGATTTGGTGCCACATTTCTCCACTTCGAATGGAGATCCACAGCATGACAAAAGCTGCAATGAATAAACTGATAACCCATTCACAGCTAAATAAATTGAGCTGTTTCTGAGGGCATTGTGAAATCAAGGAAAGCTGTGAGCATTTGCAACGGGAGTGTACTGAGGGCTGCAGAATTAAATAGCAAAACCATTTCTGTTGCTCTTTATTTCCTTAAATTTACTTGAATAAACTCAGTTTTGAATAACCCTCATGGGCTTGATTTTCAGCTGCCGGGATTCAAGGAGTTCCCTCGTGAGATTCCTGTGATATCTGCCTCTGTCAAAATGTTTGGCCAAGAACTGATGTTTATCACCACTGATGAAATGCAGGCATTTATGAAGGTATGGAAGTTTGTGTCCCCCCACCCTCAACATATTTATCAGCTTTGTCTCCTTGTCTTTTAACCTATTGCATCTTTGCCCGATAGAACATGCAGCAGCAAAGACAAGATCAGCTGCCCATGCTGCATAAGGTTATCGAAGGCCTTAAAAACATCAACCAACATTTTATGAAAGCTGTGATGCTAGATGTTCAGTACGTGGTCCCAACAGTTATTGGTCTGCCATTCCAAGCAAGAGCCCATAGCATCATCATGGCACACGGTTTATTAAAGGGTAAGCTTGGAGATAATCAAATTTCACCGTGGTTTGTTGGAAATCACATACGTTGGAGAAAATCACAGAGCATGACAGATTTGAGACCCAGGTTTTAGGGAACAGGCTTTTAATGTACTTTGCTTCCCCCAGAAAATAATCGGAAGTGTCATTTCAGAAGGGTTGTGGGAATTGTGCCTCTGTGAGTGGCAAATGGCAGTTCCTGGGATCCTTTGGGGAAAACCATGGCTGTTGAACTGGTATAAACGTGCTTTAAATCTAAGGTGTGTGGATGTGATCTACTGCATTTCACACTAGTCTAATTTCAATGAAGTTACTTCCTATTTACTAAGGTGTAATGAGAGCACAACAAAGGTCTGTCTTTTGCTTCATCGAAGCATCATCTGTCATGCTCATGACAACTTAGTTAATAGCACCAGAGTACACTAACATCCCTGCCTGAGTTGTAAGCAAAAGAGCACTCTGTTTTTCTCTACAATGTTTCATCAGTTAATGGCCTATTTCTTAGATATACCAAATCATCAGCAAATATCTTTAAAAGCCCTATATTTACTAATGTAAATGGTTCACTAGTAAATGGTTAAGAGAAACTTCATAGATGTTTGTCTATGTTTTGAGCATTTTTGTCTTCCTTTTGAGCATTTTTGTCTTCCTTTTGTCTCTCTAGCAAGGACAGAATTATCTCATGGTGATCTCAGAGATGCCAATATCCACCTTCAAGTTGACAGCAAACTTGCGTAAGTAAATGAACATTATTAGATTGGAAAAATAAGGAAATGAGAGAAATGAAACACACAGATTATTCCAGCATACTAAAATGTTCTCATTCTCATTGCCTTTTAGCCTCCAGGGCTACGGAATGATTTTCTGGGGAGTGAACACATACGACATGCAACACGGTTTGGAAATGAGAGCCCAGATCCGTACACAAGGCGTATTCAACATGAATGCCACAGTGGACATCAGAAACAAGAACTTCAAATTTGACATCGCCCCACCCCGTGATGATCAGTTTGAGTTGGCAATGGCAAGGTAGAGTGGCTATTTTATCATTTTTCTTGTTAGCTACTGCCCATAAAGGTTTTTCCTCATGAGTAAGGATACATACAACTTGACCATAGGGGATTTTTAGGTAAGAGCCAGACGCAAAATCAAGGCTTATATCATTCTCTGTTATTGGCTTCCCCAAAATCCTGTTTTGTGATATAATTCTCCATTTTGAGGGAGGATTAGTATGAATATATGAAGTTGCTCTAAATTGAGTCAGGCCATAAGCTTAACTTGCCCAGTGCCATTTCCTATGACTGGCAATTCAAGGTTTCAGACAGAGATGTGTCCCAGTCGTGCAGCCCAAACCATCTTTTAACAATGTCAAGAATCCAAAATTGAGCCCCGGCATCCTGTATCTTCAGAGTCAGCCTCTTACTTCTCAGTTAGTCTCTCTCCTCTTGCTGTGTTCCTAGCACAAATGAGTTCTTTTTCGATATGCCCGGCTTCATATTTGCATGTTGAAAAGTTTTCATTGCATATCCACACAGCCATGAGGCACATACTGTTGCAAGATACATACATTCTGAGAAGAAGGCTTCAGTACTTCCAGAAAGACCTGAAATCGATATTTTGGATGGAGATTTCGACTCAGAAAAAGGCAACATTAAGGTAAATTGTGTGTGTGTGCACGTGTGTGCAGATGTGTTCTGTGGTAAATGCCATTATATCCTGTCCTTGTATTTAGCTGATTGTGGTTCAGATATGTCGTCTTCTTTTTCTTCTGTAACTCTCCTTTTATTTAGTTAGTATTGTTTAGAAATCTGGGGGAAATTGTCCTTGTGTATTTAGCGAAATTAGATTCTTTCTTGAAGGTGCTTGGACACTGTGGATATTTACAGGTAAAAGTGAAATGACAGTGGCTCCATGCTAAGTTTACAACCAATACAGACATGCCTTTTGCAAAAGTTAACGTGCCATGGTAAAGATGTAAATTATTAGATAAAGGCTAGAGGTGTCACCTCAGCAGAGAAATCTTGAGTCATTGTATGAGTTTTAACTCATTAATTAATCAATTTAATTATGGATCAAAGCAATAGTTCTGAAGAAGAAGAAATGCTTTTCTTTCCCATAATTTATATCCACAGGTGATATTTTATAAAAGGTACTACCCACACCCATGAGATGGGCTTATAGGAATAATAATAATAATAATAATAATAATAATAATAATAATAATATGTTTCCAGAGCCCTCCTAAAACAAACACACACACACACACACACACACACACCCCTCAGATACCACAGGGTTGGGTTTTTTAAAAATTATTATTGTATGGTGCCCATTTCTGGTTTTGGCGTATGTTACTGTGCTGGGATATATTTCTAAATACTGACAAGCCTCTGTTCAATTCAGCAATCAAGCGATTCCTACAAATATAAGCCCACTTGCATATGGGTGCCTTGGTGCATGACTCAGTTGTGTTTGAAGACCATCAAGAAAACAAAAGACATGCCCAAAGTGACTTCTTGGTTGCACTACCTGTGTGAAGAACATCGAGTGGAGTTTCTCTATGTACAAGGTATTATCATATGACCAAGACATTCTCTTTGTAAGCACCCACAAGGTTGCCTTCCACTTCTAACGTTTATGCACGCTTTCTAATCTATACAGTTGTTCCTCTGGAGAAGATTCAAGGGGAGTTCCAACTAGGCTCTGGAGCACTGAGGACGAAAAGGGATGTGAGAGCTTCTGAGGCAGCAAAGGTACGTAAACGACACCTGATTTTAAGGTGTCACTTCTACTGTCCAAACTAAATATTTCTGTGGAACAATCTATAGAGGGGAGCTATGGTGGGACTGCGCCACTTTAAAGGGTTGAAGCCGTCCACGTAAGAATCGTGGGGTATGAGGTGCTGGAGATGAAGTGTATTTCTGAACAAATGAGCACCTCTGTTTTGCCCACCTCCTCTTCTCTGCAGCGACTAACATAGCTATGCATGTATTATAACAAGTACAGCCAGTTGAACAGCTATTATTATTTGCCCCTTGTTAAGGAAAGCAAGTGAATGATGTCATGATGTATATATATTTAACCGAGGTGTTTCTTTGCTTTCCTCTGAATCACGCTGCAGCGTGGAGACAAAACGCAGAAGGATGCAAGGGATGCCAAAGGCCACGATGATGAGCATTACAGAAAATCGGATCGTTTCCCATCTCCACCACCCGGTTCTACTAAAAAATGGCCCAGCAAAAAGAGCAGCAGCAGCAGCAGCAGCAGTGACAGCAGCAGCGACAGCAGCAGCAGCAGTGATAGCAGCAGCAGTGGCAGCAGCAGCAGCGACAGCAGCGACACCAGCAGCAGCGACAGCAGCAGCAGCAGCAGCGATAGCAGCAACAGTGACATCAAAGATAAACATCCCCGTAAAACCAAGTATTCTCCGCAGAGAAAGTCCAGAGACAGTTCTTCCAGCAGCAGCAGCAGCAGCAGCAGCAGCAGTGGCAGCAGTGACAGCAGCAGCAGCGACAGCAGTGACAGCAGCAGCAGTGACAGCAGTGACAGTAGCAGCAGCAGCAGCAGCAGCAGTGACAGCAGTGACAGCAGTGACAGCAGCAGCAGCAGTGACAGCAGTGACAGCAGCAGCAGTGACAGCAGTGACAGCAGCAGTGACAGCAGTAGCAGCAGCAGCAGCAGTGACAGCAGTGACAGCAGTGACAGCAGCAGCAGTGACAGCAGTGACAGCAGTGACAGCAGCAGCAGCAGCAGCAGCAGTAGCAGCAGCAGCAGCAGCAGTGACAGCAGTGACAGCAGCGACAGTGACAGCAGCGACAGCAGCAGCAGCAGCAGTGAAAGCTCTGACATTTCCCGGGAAAAGGTAACTATTTTGTCACTGCTCTCAGTCGAATGCATGAGTGTGGTTGGAATGCAGCCGTAGCCACTACATTTGAAAGGAAAGAGAAAGCAAGCAGCACTGCTTCATGGACGCCAGCATGTCTGGCTAGGGCAGGCAGCAACTGGCACGCCAGACCAAGCAGCCACTGTTCTTACTCTGAGGCCGAGCCACATGGGGAGAGGTCTCATATAGACTGTTCCCAAGTCACCCCCCAAATCCGCCAAAGTCTCCTGAGACGTCACAAAGATTGAAAGGAGACTTTGGTGAAGCTTAATGATGCTTGAGGTGACTTTTCTGTGGCGGCAGCGGTGGCAGCAGCAGCAAGGGGTGAAGGTGCCGACAGTTTCTGCCTCGGGTGACGAAATAAGCTGGGCTGGCTGCTTCTAGCTAATACTCCAACAGAAAAGGCTTGGATTTTGTTAATTATGTTAATGAATATTCACTTTCTCTGACAATATTTCCAAGAGGTTGGTCCTCAGAAGCACCCACTGCTGAATTTTTAAAAACCAACATTGTTCATGGGGTTAAATCTGTCATGTTATCTTTTTAAGTTTTGTTATTCTGTGCTGATACCATTGAAAAAAGCAATCCCTTTTCTTGAAAACTCTTAAAACTTTCTTCTTTTCTCAGGGAAGGCATTCCAAACTTCTTCAATATTCTTTCCTGTCAGTGAAACAGCAGGTAAGATTTTTGTTTGTTTGTTTTTTGTTTGTTTTAGTTATGGGGTGACATAGAAGGCAGATTGCACTAGCAGCAATACAGTTTTTTAAAAATATTGTTGCAAAAGTTTGGTGCCATCCCCACTTTCTGCTGAGTGGTAGCAAGATTATTGGGGGGAGGGGTGTCCAGCCACTCACCCAGGGTCCGCATTCCTGTGGAGAACTGAGACACGGCAGAGACTGTTGTAGCTTTAAGAATATGGTTTATTCACCTATTTACATCTCCTGTCTGGATGGAGGGAGTCCAGATCTTACAGCATTGTCATTTCAAGAGGGGCTTTGTCCCCCACAGCAGTGCAGCCCTGGAGCCCAAAGCACCTCTCCCTGCCAGCCTTCAGCCAGCCTGCCCAACAGGGATGCCATGTCTTTTCTCTTCCTTCTTTTTCCCGGCATACCTTGCTCAAGACACTCTTTTCCTGTCACCTCAAACTCATACCCCATCACTATGGCAACCCAAGCCCAGGCTCTCAGATGGGCCATCAACCCCCTTTGTCATGTTAATGCCTCTATCCCAGGTGAGGCCCTGGCTTGGAAAGAAATATTAGCCTGTAGTTTTCCACTGACCTCAAATCTTCCCTTCAATACTCCAAATGATCAAACCCACAATTTCTAGGGTGTGTTTTTTTTTGGGGGGGTCACCCCCATTCCACAACACCACCCTTTCTATTCCCATTACACCATTTCTCCCAAATTGTCCGCGCCATTTTATTGCAAAGCCAGATGATGATATTCTCAGCCCGCTGGATTGCTGATTTCTCATTATCGTTATGACTAGTATTTTAAAATTGCACTGCAGTTGAAATCCCGCCCTTTCCCGTGCGAGGTGATGGTGTAATCTTCTGGGTGAAGGAGTGCTTGGTGACTTTTTCAGCATTACTGATACTCATCCCCCACCCTCCAACTTCCACCGTCTTTGTTAAAATGCATAGGGTGGTATAGTCCGAAACAATTTCATGATGGAGGCAAGGAGATAACAGCCTTTAACACCCACAAGGAAACTGTAGAGGCTGGTCCATTGTGGCGAATGGAGCCCTGCCACACTGCCTCACTTGCATCCAGTAAAGGAAGAGGCCCTGACTGCCAACCTCATCCTTCTTAGTTGCAGTGTCACCCTATTAGGACACAGCAGGGAGCATGGGGGTGGGACTAGAATGAGTTGGCTCTGCTTGTCATTGGCTCCGTCTCCACCTATCGTTGGCCTCTCCACCTTTCCCTCTGCCAGTCGCCGCTGCAAAGAAAACTGCCTTCATCACTGCTTAATCTGGGACTAACTTTAAATCTTGACGATGCTTTTTCTTTTCATTTTTTTTAGCGAAGACAACAGCAAAGTAGCTCCTCCTCCAGCTCCAGCAGCTCCTCTAGCTCCAGCAATGAAGAATACACAAAGGGCTCTTCGGTCAGTATCCCTTTGGAAAATGGCAAGGCTGATGGAAATTTACAAGCTGGGCATAGTTGAAATAAATTGGAAAATATATTAATCGCTTATAGCTTATTTGGGTTTTTATATACTTAACTATCTTTTGATGTATTCATTGCCTTTTGACTCAGTAGGGACATCAAGGTAGTTCTTGGTAAAATATGGCTTAGATTAAAATTAAAATACAAAAAAACAACCCCAGTAATAAATTAGTATCTAGACTGAGTAGGCTAGAGCAGAACAGAAATCTGTTATGATGAGGCTGCCTCAATGAGCCATTTCTGAAAGGGCCAAAGAAATAACTTAATCATCCTTCTAAAGGTTTCAGAAGAGACTCAATTGACTTTCCCCAACATTTTATTTATTCGATTTATATACCGTCTTTTATCAAAAGATGGCAGGGCATTGTACAACATTCAGAACACATTTTACGGAGCACAATAATAAAAACTCAATAAACAGCATAATAATAAAATAATCATAATAACGCACACCCCTGCCCCAGCTTTAACAACCCGTATATTATTTAATGGCCAAAGGCCTGGGTAAAGAGGAAAGGCTAAGGGCGTGTAATAATGGTGCCAGGCGAGTCTCTCAGGGGAGAGTATTCCACAAATGGGGAGCCACTACAGAGAAGGCCCTCCCAGACCTTACGTGGAGGAGGTACACATAGAAGGGCCTCAGATGATGAATGCAGAGTCTGGGACAGTTTATATGGGGAGAGGCAGTCCTTGAGGTATTGCGGTCCTGAGGTGTTTGAGGCTTTAGAGGTCAGAACCAGCATTTTGAATTGGGTCCAGAATTGCTAATTGGCAGCCAGTGCAGTTGGGCCACAATCGGTGTAATAAACCATCTTGTCTCAGTGAGCAACCTGGCCACTGAATTCAGCACCAGCTGAAGCTTCTGAACCGTCTTCAGAGGCAGCCCTGCGTTTAACGCTTTGCAGTAATCCGATCTAGAGGTTATGGAGCCACTGGCATCTGTCGAGTAGATGATACTAATAGGTCTGAGTAATTTCTTTGACTAGGCCAACGATCTAAATAATTTTGTTTTCCTTCTTTTTTTGGTCCCAGGAAAAAGTAGCATCCTTTGCTGTCAAATGCCTCACTCGCAATAAGAGACAATACGGAATCGTCGGCGACGTTTATCACGGCTCCTCCATGCTGAAAGTGACTATAAGAAACATCACACGGCCAAGCAAGCCAGTTGTCTGCTTCCAAAGCATAATGGTCACCCCTCACAAGCTCAGGGTGAGTCTCTTCAAAGCGTGTCGACCCCTCACAGAGCATTCAATCCAAATGCTAATGCCGCTTTTTAACAAAAATGTGCTGTACTCTACCACTTAGACCACTCTAGAAGCAGGCTGGGATTGCAAAGACTACCAGGTCGCTGCAGAAGTCGAGACGGGTTGGTTTGCTAAAAGGCCAGCAGTTCAGTTCAAGGCTAAACACAAAAGGCTTCCTGCAGTAATGACGAACTTTGTGGAACAGTGAGTAGATGCGCATCTTCAAATGATTCACTTATGACATCTCTGCTAAGTGTATTGCAGCCAAGCATATGGTGGTGTTTACTATGACCAAAAAGATGTCCGGTTTTAATCTAAATCTTTTTTTGAAGGCCTGGGACATAGAAAGTGGGGTGTGAATACCTGCTGAAGAGGAACAGCCTTCAAAAAGCTGTTAGCTTTTCTTCACAAACTGCCAGTTTTGGAGCAGAAGCCAAATCAGGCCTATGGACAATTGCTACTTATCATCCCTTTATGTCTTTCTGGAGATAAAAAATGGGAGACATTTAGCCCCAGCAAGTCTCCTAGTTGCTGTTGATATGAAGACATTCCCTGGAAAGCTCAACCAAGTAGTTGCCATAGTTTCCATCTCAGGACAGGCAGCTATCTCTGAGTACATTGGCAAAGGGCAAAGAGAAGGGGTGACAAAGATTCAGTCCCTCGCCTCTTTGGCCTGCCTTACACTTATTCCGTTTAGTGTGGTGTGCAGCAATCTGGGATAAAACCATCCTTGTCTATCAAGTCAGTCACAATCCAGAGCCTACATTTCTGGAAGATTTCTGTGGGAAACTCCCCGTCCCCCCCACCGTTTGAAGAACAAAAACACAATCCTCAGCACCAAATGTAAATCAGGCTTGTAATTTCCAGGACCCCTGCCTGCCCACCCTGCTGCCTAAATCAACTTCAAATTTATCAACATGCCCTGAAGCCTGAATTTGCCTTGTGGTGGGTCATTTGTGATGGTTTTATGTTAGTCCTAAAGGCTGTTTGAATGAGACTGCTATAGTTGTAGTTGTTGTTTAGCTTCTTTTCACATCTAAGACAGTCTTATATGGCCAAGATTCATCACCTCTCAGTTTTTTATTCTTAAACGACACCTAAATTTTATGTCCACTACATTCTTATTTCTGCTTATTTTGCCCGGCCATTATTACTGTTAATTATTTCTTCATATATGTACCCCCATGCATAGAATTACTGCTAATCACACCTTTTATGTTACTACAGCCAATTAAGAAATATTTTCTTTTTCTTTTTTTTAAAGAATAACTACAGTGATTCCTGGAGCTGCTTACATGATGGGCTACTCATACAAAGTTCAAAGAAATCCCTCTCAAGAGGTTACACTGGTTATAGCTCTAACTGATCCTAGAAGCTACGCTGTGATCATGAGGACACCCACTGTGAGTTACAGATGACATTATTTGAGATGTGACAGGTGTGAAAGTATTATTTCGAATGAAATTCAGGGGTGTACATGTCCACCATTTTTATGACCCTTTGTTTTTTGGATCTGGGACCATGATTAAGCGGGATAGCTGGCGGCATTTATAATGTGTCACCAGAGGTGAAATTCTTGACCATTTTAAGATGACCTCTGGTTGTTGTTCCCAGAATTGATTTTAGGAAAGCCTTGTATACTGGTCTTCCTGTGTGCACTTAGTACATATCCATTTGTCTCCAAAGTGTACATTTAAAGTTGTTCAGCTATTAACTTCTGAGATACAATGCAATACAAGTTATTGGGCCAGTATGATTTTAGTTGACCAATCATACAAAGAGGAAGGAATACTTGAGGATGAAGTGAGAAATCATTCATGTATAATGATGTTGCTGAACTGTGTGCGAACAACGTAAGGGTTCGACATGTGAACCGCCCTGAGATTTACGGATGAAAGGCGGTATACAATTTAATAAATATTAATAATAAAATAACACATCCTTGTGCCTGTTTGAAGAACAAAGAGAAAGACAACACAGCCAATTTCTAATTTGTTTTCCTATTCCTTTCCAGGTGACCATCTATGCTGAAGACTGCATGATTCCGTTTTCACTGCCTATTGGCGACTCTAACCAACCTTCAAAACTCTGGGATGTTCCATCAGTGATACTTGCTAGTCAGAATGGTCAGTAGCTAAACCATTCCCATAGCATCAAATAATAATAATAATAATAATAATAATAATAATAATAATAATAATTTTTTTAGCGAATCAGTTTCTTTGAATGCCTCGACATATTTTTCTATACAATAATCTCAGATTATTGTGAATGCAGAAAAGAAAGTGAAAGCTGGGGTAAAATGTACCAAGACTTCTTGCATATTCACCATAGTTCCATAATTTTAAATCCTATTTCAGAGGCTTTTACTTAAAACCCAGTCCACTGCCAGCTAATTCAAATCTATCACTTAACAAGATTTGTCCTGGACGATGTTCAAACGATCAAAAACCAAAATCTTTCTGCTAAAATCATATACAAAATGTAGGGTTTCCGGGCAGAAATCAGCAACATTTCTGGGAAAATCCGGACGTATGGCCACCCATGTTGGCAGTGTTGTTTTTGCTGATTTTCCTGAAAAAACATCAATTTTCTTTTGCGATTTGCCAAAAAAGCTGAACAACTTTGGCCCAAAAAAGCTCTGAATTTTTGAAATATGGCAACCCTAACAAAATGCCCACACTATTCTCCAAGCTCATTATCTCCTTGGCCAATATGTTGGTTATTGATTGCTTCCATGATGTACATAATATTTAAAAAATGTTTCCCCCCCTCTCTCTTACTCATATTTATTTCTCTGTTATCAGGTGTCTGCAAAATCGATGGTCAAAAGATCTCAACCTTCACTGGACAAAACTTTGACAAAAGATTGCCTCCAGATTGTTTCATGACTTTGTTACAAGACTGTACCTGTGACAAGAAGTTTATGGTGCTGATAAAATATGAATCTAATAATGCAAACAACATCCTACTCAAATTAACCATCGCTGGCAGGTAAGTACTCTTAACCACAGTATCTTTGCACTAATCCAATCCAGTCACAGGGTGAAAGGAAAAAGTTTCAGCTTCCAAAAGAAAAAGAAGAAAGTGCATGTTTAACGGTTTGTTGTAAAATATTTTAACCCTACTCTTCTTTCAAAAGAAACCATAATAGCTTGCATCAAGATTAATCAACATTAAAGCAAAAAAACAAAAACAAAAACAAATACATAATACATTGTTTTATTTCAACCATGTAAATAAATCATACTGGGCATCTGAAAACATTCAGTGTAGGGGTTGGGTGGGCCTTCAAAGGGAGAGCTTTTCACAAGACTGGTGTCATTACTAACCCCACTCCTTATGTGCTTCAGCTGGTGATGGAATCCAAAGCTGAATCTCACATGTTGACTTGAAGGTGCCAAGTGGCTAATTTGGGCAGAATTAACACTTCCGAAATATATGCAGTCTGTTCAAGCCTTTTATCTATTGCTCCCTTGGTTCTCTATGTTTTCCTCTTCACACTGTAGACAATTCTCTAGCTTCCCAGACAAGCTTACTTGCTTTTCAAGAATTAAAACAATGACAAATCACAGGACAGGACAGGACAGGACAGGGAGTGATATTCTAACTAAGAATCAGTAGCTAGCAGAATGCAACTTTAGTTTTAAATGAATCTGGTGAGCTTAGAATTGGGTTTAGATGAAATTAATATCTAGAAAGAAAAAAACATTAAACGATGCACAGTAGCGGATTCAATTATTTTGTCCCTTTAATAATAGTACTTAGATAAGAGAAAAACATAATATAAACTATTTTATTGGAAGTAATTGAAACTCATTGAGAGAGAATTCATTAATTGTTTCTCTGCCCCCCCTTTTTTTAACAAGTGAAATTACCCTCAAGAATCGCAATGGAAAGAACATAGTAGAAATTGATGGTTCTGTAATACCAATGGCACGTCTCCCAGTCAGACATGAAGGTATGTAATTGTATTTTTAGAAGTTAAGTCATCTGTTGTCTCAAGGTGACAGGCAAAGAAAGAAAGAAAACACCAGTATAACACCAGTATGAAATAAATACTGGATGAGAGTTTATTGTTCCTGCAATTCAGGGCTAGGATGTTGTATTTACACAGATCAACATGCACAAAAAACAGAATAATAATGTATACTCTCACTTTAAACTATACTGAAAAAAATAATGGAGGCATTGATGAACAGGAATTTTCAGTTGAACAGGATCAGTAGTTTAATCCGAAGAATATTTTATTTTATATGTTTACCCAATTCTCAATGGATTCATCAGATTGTCTTTTCTTTAACTTACAGAGTTTACCGTTAAATCAGACCGCAAAGGTGACGAAATTGTACTTTCTTCATTGTTTGGAATTCACGAGCTGATCTACAATGGACGTAATGTTCAGGTATTTTTCTTCTGCAGCTAATGCTTTCAAGGTTTTAAAACGATTTGCAAACAGCAAAACAAAACCTGTGCTTGCCTATCAGATCATCAAAGTACATTGCCCTCTTCAGCTAATAATGATAATGCTCACAGTCTCAGACTCCGCTACTCTTTGAATCAATAAAACATAACTGGGATGTTCCCAGTGCCTTTCTGATAAGCAGTGGCTGGAAGAACAGATGTGTGAAGTTATAATCATCAACGCTAGTTTTAAGTCTCTCCAGTCTCCAAGATAACTTTAAACTTTAAAGTGAATTATTTCCCTCTAGCTACTGAATGTGTCACTAATGCAGTTATGGAATTAACACAGAGAGGGTAGAGAAATCCCCATTAGGACCCTGTGTGGTGCTGGACTGAGGCACATAGCTGTAAAGATCTAGTAGACTTTGAATTTGAAACATGCTCCCCTTTGCTGTGTATTATATTTTCACTGCTAGCTTTGGCAGAATGAGGCAAATTCTTATTGTCAACTCAATCCCAATTACTTCCCCCCTCTTTTTCTCTCTCTTCATAAAGGTAACCGTTACTCCCACTATCGGATATACCTGTGGTCTTTGTGAAGTATATGGCGGAAATGCAGAAAAATTACGAACACCAAGTGGCTACTCAGCTAAAGATCCAGAGAGCTTTGCTCAGTCCTGGCTGGTCCCCGATGAATGTGGTGGAGGTAGGTAGAGTCTGATAGTTTGTTTTAATTATGACTAAGGTAGCTAGGTCTGGGTTTGAAGGGATCATGCAGAATTTAGCCCTTCCTCCATCAGTAAGCTTTGGTGGACTTAACCTGGCTGCAGCAGTGGAGGGCAGCAACAGGCAGTTGGGTCTAGCTGCCATTTTAATTTCCCATAATGCCCCAGAGCAATGCCAGATCAGAGACAATGTGGAAATTGTAAATGCGGCTAAAACCAGCTGCACATCATTGCTCAAAGCAATAGGATAACAACAACAGCAGCAGCAACAACAACAATAAATGAGGTAGGCAACTGGGGTGGGGTGTCCACAGCTGCCCAAGGTTGCCAGTCAGATAGTCATCAAAAATGAATAGAAACTTTCAACCTTTGAATTAAATTGCTTGAATCCATATACCTGCTAAGTGACAAGCATCAAGATGGTGACTCTATAAATGTTGCTTTTCTTGTTGGGTTATGAAGCCCAGTGCATTGTTTTGTTGGACTTTATCACTGTTAAATATGGAATTATGCTGTAGAACCTCTGGCTTTTTAAGTTGTTTTTTAAAAAAACCAGTGTCTTAAAAGGTTTGTACTTAATCTGTTGCAGCCTGCAAACTGAAACACTCAACTAGGAGACTTGAGAAACCAATCCGGATTGGAGAAGAAGATATGCAATGTATTTCTACTCTACCCGTGTTGAGCTGTAAGGAGAAGTGCAGACCCACCACAACAACTCAGGTGTCTTCTAGCTTCCACTGTCTCTCAGCTGGTAAGTCCATGTAACGTCTACTGGTTTGGACTACACACTAAAATTACACCAGTCATGCTTTAATTTTGCAGAATGACATTTTGCTACCTTTCTGGATGTCCCCAGGGTTTAAAACATCTTTCCTTTAGGGGGATCAAAGAAAGGAGCAGCAAGGAGCCTGATTTTATTGTAGTTCAGAATGCTATAACAGCAAGCCTAGGCTCATGGTTTTTTGCTTCTATGAAAGATTAGGCTTTTGCTTGTAGCGTGTTTAAAGCACCTGAAACTCTCTGGCATCAGTAAGCACTGTAAATAAATTTGCTTTTTCTCCTTTCACGGATTGCCAGATTGGTGTATAACATATGCTGTTATTTTGCCACATATGAAGCAAATTAGTGAGTGAAACTATACATGGGAGATGCAGGGGAACAATAATGCTCTCTTCCCTCCCAAGAGTTCATTGGCAGTGCCTTTTGAAAATAGCAATGCTAGAGCGAAGGTTTTTTGTTTTGAAAGTTGTGGCTGGGAGACTCCAGCTAAGCCTTCAGGTGTAGGTATAAGAAGCACCATTCGTTTGGCAAAAGTTTAATCCTTCTCACGTTTTTTTACTTCTTTCCTTTTGTTTCTAGGGGCAACCTTGCCAACTGATCTGGTTACCCTCGCTGCAAAATCAGAAGACCTGCTTTCCTCTGTTGAAGCCCACGTAACATGCAGTTGTGCTGAAGAACAATGTGAAGCATAACTTTCCTACTGAACAGATTAGAAGCCCAAAATACCGTTTACTGTGGGAGGCCAGTATGTTAATTCTAGGCAGCCACACAGAAGTTAATTGAAAAAGCACTGCTGAGCCATCTGAAGTCGAGTCATAACCCTGCAGAAGCAAAGGCAATTATGAATGAAATGGATGAGTTTCTAATAAACACTTGCATTCAGAAAAATAAAGTGGTGGTTTCTTCCTTTCATTAGTTATGCAAAAAGGTGACGTGATATGTTTGTATGATTGAATGAATGATTGGAAATTTGGGTACTGTGACTGTGTTTTAATTTTTTAATAGTAAAGAGGCAGGAGGAAATATTCTTTTCCAATTAATTTTTATTGAATTTCAGTTTTTTAAAAAACCCAAATTAACATCAAGTTTAATATCAAATTGAATACATAATTTAAAAGTTGACTTCCCACCCTTCTTCCATGGTAGGAAAAGTGTTAAATGCATCAAAATAAAAGGAACAATTTCTGTCCCATCAGGAAGCATGGTACAGGACTATACTTTTTAAATAAACATTATATGCAACCAAGAATGAAAAATTATCTTATCAGAATTCCTGGGAGTTTGTTTGCTGGAAGTAAGATTAGCACCTAAAACTGTCTGTGCCATAATTATCTGTGGGCCTGTAAGCATGTGTAATGATGCAGTTACACGTTTTGTATATTTATTCACATAAGAAATATAAATCAAAATTCCCACAACACTTAACAGGTACACACAGACCATGCTCAAAGCATGGAAGACAGAAATAGGCTAACTATCCCCAACCCCATCCCCACTAACCCCCCTGGCGTACTACCCATTATTCCACCATGCAGCACAAGACCTCTAGATAAAAATTTGGCAAGCCAAAGGCTTATATCACCTAATAGACTTTTATAAAAATAACAAACCTTTGTCAACACAAGAAATACAAGACAAACTAGAAGACACCCAAGTGCCCTGGTTAACACAACACCAACTACATGCCCTCTTAAACAACCCAACAGTAAAATCAGCAGCAACTCGGCCCCTGACAACCTTCAAAAACCTCCTCCTAACAACAAAGGGAAATGGTAAAGGGATGGTTTCCGCAATATACAAAATACTACTCCAAAATCCTGCAAATCCCCTAGACGCAATCAAAAAACAATGGGAGAATGACATAGGCTATGAGATTAACCCCACTCAATGGACCAGAATGTGGTCTAAACCCCCCTTTAAATCCATATCAACGAAAAAGAAAAGAACCCACTCTGAAACTCACCTACAGGTGGTACCTAACACCAAGAAAACTAGTGCTAATATGCCCAGGAACCTCACCAAAATGCTGGAGAGGGTGCACCTCCACAGGCACATCCCTCCACATGTGGTGGGAGTGCCCCAAAATCCAACTATTCTGGACAACAGCCATACGAAATAACTAAGCAAGTATTAGACATCACCCCAGAATTGGCCCTACTAAACATCTTCCAAGACAACAATGCCCATTTACACCACAAAGCACTCATAACCCACCTACTTTCAGCAGCCAGAAACACCATAACCAGACACTGGAGAGACCTGTCAGGAGTAAGCATGGACCAATGGTACCAAATAGCATGGGAAACAGCCCTACTAGAAAAATTAACCAATAAACTGAAACTGACACGGGGACAGACAGAAGACGCTGCCTTTACCCCGGTATGGCTCCCCTTTATCACGCACACAGCCCAATGACAACAAGACAATGACAATAATCCACCAACAGCATATAAATCAATATGGCTAACCTGATCCAAAACACCCACCCACCCCACTCACACACAAAAACAAAGCCAATCACAAACAAACAACCACACCCTAGGCCAACCCCAACCTCTTTCACCACCAAAGGAACACAAGTGAACAGCAGAGAACCGGCACGAGTAACACTGACACCAAACCCTACATACATTAAGCAAAATAGAAACATTGCCACCCAACCCCACCCATCTCCCCCCCTCCACCCCTTTTCTTCCAAAAGAAAAAAGAAAAAAAGAAATATAAATCAATGTCAACCCTGCCAACCCTACCCTAGAAGCATTCTTATGTTTTTAAGACCACACAATGAACAATAAAAGATGTTCTCCTAATTCCACCAAAATTAAAGCACAGCATTGACATGCTACTCTGAACCAGCTAAAATGAAAAAGTACAAAAAAAAAAGACTTCTGCTGAGTTCAGTAATACTTCCTCATCCCTTTTGGGTGTGGAAAACCTCTTAAATATGAGAAATCAGGTGATACTACTGCATTATTAAACAAGCCTCATCACTTGGCACCACATTTACAAAGCACAGGTGTGAGCTTCAAAACATCTCTAGATGCTGAATGCTGCAATCCTATCCTGACATGGTTTGGACTCCCTTCCAACTCTACAATTCTATGATTCCATGAATGGAGTATGTTCCATTGACCTCAATGAGATTTACACACACATCTATAAGAACTGTGCTGCATGACACCCATTAGATGGTTTAGAAACCGAGTCAACAAGTTGTTGGCTTGATTGAAGTCAGTGCAGAAAACCATAGTGAAGTCTGCATTCTAGATTTTTAACAGGTTACTCTGGATCCCACCAAGATCACATATTTAATTCAAGAGATACTCAGCTGCCCCAGAATACTATTCTCCAGTCTGTGGTCTGGAAGAGGGAGCAGAGTTGTATTTTTCTTCTTCTTTGCCATGCAAGCTAACCCCTACCCATAGTCAGTCTCCACAATCCAAAGACTCCTACAGATAATAATAATAATAATAATAATAATAATAATAGTAGTAGTAGTAGTAGTAGTAGTAATAATAATAATAATAATAATTTATTATTTATACCCCGCCCATCTGGCTGAGTTTCCCCAGCCACTCGGAGCGGCTCCTAATCAAGTGTTAAAAGCAGTACAGCGTTACATATTAAAAACTTCCCTGAACAGGGCTGCCTTAAGATGTCTTCTGAATGTCAGGTAAAATCTCTTTGACATCTGATGGGAGGGCGTTCCACAGGACGGGCGTCACTACCGAGAAGGCCCTCTGTCTGGTTCCCTGTAGCCTCACTTCTCACAATGAGGGAACCGCCAGAAGGTCCTCGGCGCTGGATCTCAGTGTCCGGGCTGAACAATGGGGGTGGAGACGCTCCTTCAGATAGCAGCATAGTTGTGGAACACATTTACTCAGGCATAGTGGTGCCCGAAGCTGTTGCCCCAGATTTCCAGGCTTAGGGGGTGGGTGGGATTTGACTGACACGTTTTACATTGAAGATCATTATTTCCTTAGACTTGATTAGAGGATGGATAAGGAGAAGAGGACTTGACTCCAAAGAGATGAAAGGGGGAGGACTACAAGTAATCAGCTAAGAAATACTACTGCAGCAGGGGTAGAACTAATCAGTGGTGGTTTGTACAGATGCTCAGTGAAAACATGAATAAGAACTTCAGAAGAAACCTGCTGGATCAGACCAGAGGCCTGTCCAACCCAGCATCTTGTTCTGATGGTGGACAAACAGATGCCTATGGGAAACTCATAAGTGTAGGAATAGTTCCCGAAGTTCAAAATGATCTTAATAGCACAGTATCTAGTCCCTATATCATGAAAGTGAGATGTCCTTCCAATGAGGTGAGCAAGCTGTACTGATGCTTATTGCTCTTTGTTTAATGGGAGAACAGATGCATATGCATCCTAATTTTTTACATCTATCATCTATCAATATCTATATCTATCTATCATCTATCTATCTATCATCTATCTATCTATCTATCATCTATCTATCATCTATCTATCTATCATCTATCTATCTCTATCATCTATCTATCTATCTATCTATCTATCTATCTATCTATATCTATCTATATCTATCTATCTATCTATCTATCTATCATCTATCTATCATCTATCTATCTATCTATCTATCTATCTATCTATCATCTATCTATATCTATCTATCTATCTATCTATCTATCTATCTATCTATCTATCTATCTACCTACCTACCTACCGGTATCTATCTATCTATCTATCTATCTATCTATCTATCTATCTATCTATCTACCTACCTACCTACCTACCGTATTTTTCACTATATAAGACCCTAAGACGCACCTAGTTTTTAGAGGAAGAAAACAAGAAAAAAAATTCTGAATCCCAGAAGCCAGAACAGCAAGATGGATCTCTGCGCAGCAATCCCTCTTGCTGTTCTGGCTTCTGGGATAGCTGCGCAGCCTGCATTCGCTCCATAAGACGCACACACATTTCCCCTTATTTTTTAGGAGGGAAAAAGTGTGTCTTATAGAGCGAAAAATATCTCTATCTCATCTACTGATACACACATGACGAGAAAACTATACTGAAATGTTTTTATAAATCACTGGGCTGTTGCTGTAGGTGGAAGGGTAACACTGCTGATCATCACTACTATTCTCAAAGGCTGGTGAAAGCATCTACGCTGATGTCTCTCTGTGCATGATTGAGGGAGGAGAGTTCAATTTTAATAGATTTCCATTTTAGCCATTAAAGTAGAAATGGGGGACCTGTTGCCCTCCATGTTTTGCTGGTCTCCAGCTCCCAGCAGCCCCATCCAGAACGGTCAACGATGTGAGATGATGGCAGTTGCAAATCAGCAACATCTGGATGGCCACAGGTCTCCATTGCTGCATCACTGGATAGTCCCACTAGGCCAAATTAAAGTGCCAAACCTATTCATCGTGTGCAAAAGATGGAAAGACAAGCTTATTGTTAATAAACAATGTAAATAAAGACCGTACTGAGTCAAAACCACCTTTCTTTGTTATTCCTCTTATCAGCCTCTGATGTTGAGATAAGCTCTCCATATGTGCTATACCTGAAAGAGCATTTCTACCCCCATCATTCAGCATGGACAGCATGGACATCCAGCTCCAAGGCCTTTCTGGCAGTTCCGTCACTGTGAAAAGTGATGTTCCAGGGAACCAGGCAGAGGGCCTTCTTGGTAGTGGCGCTCTCCCTGCAGAACGCCCTCCTAGCAGATGTCAAGGAGACAAATAACTATAGAACTTTAAAAGACACTTGAAGGCAGCCCTGTATAGGGAAGTTTTTAATGTTTATGTTTTTATTATGCTTTTATGTTTTTGGAAGCTGCCCAAAGTGG